ACTATGGACTGGGTAATTCGCAAAGAAAAGAACTTTATTGCCGGGTGTGGTGGTTCACCCCTGTAATCCCAGCACTTTGGGAGGCCGAGGTAGGTGGATTACCTGAGGTCAGGAGTTCAAGACCAGTCTGACCAACATGGTGAAACCCCATCTCTATTTAAAAAACAAAACAAAACAAAACAAAACAAACCACTTTATTTCTTATAGTTCTGGAAGCTGGGGAGTTGAAGGGCATGGTGCTGGTGTCCGGTGAGGGCCTTTGGGCTGCATCATCCCATTGTGGAAAAGTGGAAGGGCAAGTGAGCACATGCAAAAGATAAAAGCAGGAGGGGCCGAGCTTGCTTTATAACAACTCACCCAACAACTAACCCAGTTCCATGATAATGGCATTACTTCCCTTATGAGGAAGGAGCCCTCATTACCTGAGGCCTCAATTCCCAACACTGTTGCATTCAGTGTTAAGTTTCAACATGAGTTCTGGAGAGGACATTCAAACGATAGCAACCATCTTCTGCTATGTGTGGACTTTGTTTGGATCTGATATGAGCAAACTATTTAAAAGTTTTCTGTAACAATAAAATTTGGATATCAGGTGACACAAAAGGTTATCAGCAATTTTTGTTAGATGTTGCATGGTGCAGGTATGTCAGAAGATTGTCTGTATTTGGCAGGAATGCATACTCAAATATCCAGAGTGAAATTTCTTGATATATTTTAAATACTTAATCAGAAAAAGGAAAATAAATGAAGAATGGTGGCAGCATCTTGACAATTGTTGAATCTGGTTTTGGGAGATGGGGGCGTTCATCATATTATTCTTTCTACTTCTTCAATGCTGGCAATTTTAAATACAAAATTTTAAAAAAACATAATAAAGGAAATTTTTACTCTCATAACTAAAAAGTTTAGAAACAGGGTAGATATCAAATGAAGCTTCATATAGTCAATATAATCAAGGATCCAGTTTCTTTTTAATTTCCCCATGGCTTTCAATGGTGTTTACTTCATCCCGAGGCCATCTCTTCTCATGGTACAGGGACCATATATTACAGTTTGCTAGACAGTCTCAGTTACATCTATTGTCATAATATAATTATTTATAGCACTATCTTTCTCTCAAATGTGACCTTGTTTTGGATGATAAATTAAATGGTCACCCTAGTTTATGGTTGTCAAAAGACTGCCAACCACAATTAGGGCTTCACGCTTCTCTGTTCATATCCAGCTAAAGAGAGAAGCTGCTGTCCCCAAAATAACCAACAAACCTTTCTTATAGTCCCAATGTCTCAGAAGGGCAAAGTGACCATTCATGAAACAGACATCATGGCTAGAGTGATGGGATGCATTGGTTGGCTTAGGTCAATCAGGGACCACCCTGAGAACAGGGGACAAAGTCAATGGATGGGTCCTTGGTAGGTGGGGCCAAGAGGGATTAAATGTGGGGAAGAATCCAGTTAAAATCAGTATGCTCCTCCTTGCCATATTTTCTGCCACTGCCCTAGTTTAGGGCTCAGCATCTCTTAGACTATTGCAAAAACTTCTTAGCTGATCTCCCTCCTTTTGCTTTGGCTACTATGTTGCTGCCACAGTGATCTTCTTAGTATGTAGATCTGATCATGTCACTGCCAGATTCCACATTTTTTGATGTCCTGCTTTCACCTATAAGATAAAGTCTAAATGCCTTTGCTTATTACATAAAGCTGTTCAATACTTGGCCTTTGTCTGGTTATCTGTCCGCATCCATCTTCAGTCTCTTCTTTATACTTTAAGCTTTAGCAAAACAGAATGACTTGTAGTATTGTTTACATACAAGGCTTTCTCACACCTTGTTTCCCCAAGCCTGCCTCATTCTTATCAGTTCAGCAAATTTGTTTTCATCCTCCCATGTTATCTTGATGCTGGCTTCTCTGACTCCTTCTTTGAATATTTCAGGCCCATTTTTGGTGCCCACTGCACTTTGTCATACAGTAAAGCCAGCCTTTTTTCTGATCAGACCAGGATAGTGGTTGGCGGGTTAATTGAAAAACCAATTAAAATCTGAGATCATAACAACATACATATTTTAACCTTTTTTTATTTTTATTTTTTGAGATGGAGTTTCACTCTTGTCACCCAGGCTGGAGTGTAATTGCATGATCTCAGCTCCCCGCAACCTCCGCCTTCTGAGTTCAAGTGATTCTCCTTTCTCAGCCTCCCAGGATGCTGAGATTACAGGCACCGGCTACCACACCTGGCTAATTTTTGCATTTTTAGTATAGACAGCATTTTATCGTGTTGGCCAGGCTGGTCTCGAACTCCTGACCTCAAGTGATCTGCCCACCTTGGCCTCCCAGAGTGCTGGGATTACAGGCGTGAACCACTGTGCCCAGCTCACTTTAACCCTTTTTTTACATCATATATATAATACATATGATATATATGTCCCTTTTTTTTTTTTTTTTTTTTTTTTTGAGATGGAGTTTCGCTCTTGTTACCCAGGCTGGAGTGCAATGGCACCATCTCGGCTCACTGCAACCTCCGCCTCCTGGGTTCAGGCAATTCTCCTGCCTCAGCCTCCTGAGTAGCTGGGATTGCAGGCACGCGCCACCATGCCCAGCTAATTTTTTGTATTTTTAGTAGAGACGGGGTTTCACCATGTTGACCAGGATGGTCTCGATCTCTTGACCTCGTGATCCACCCGCCTCGGCCTCCCAAAGTGCTAAGATTACAGGCTTGAGCCACCACGCCCGGCGATATATGTCACTTTAACCATTGTTTTACATCACTGTTTCTCAATCTTTTTTTTTTTTTTTTTTTTTTTAAATTATCTCCACCCAAAGCTTTTTTGGACTTTTTCCCTAATAACAATCCCTATATTCACATGAAATTTTAGTCTCACACAAACAAACTGGATATCTATTCACATACTCTATGTGTATCTGCAGGGCTACAGGGCTAAGACCTTTTATTTGGATATGGGTCCTCTGGTCCAGTTCTGCCTTGGATTTCTTCCCCATTGATAACCCATCCTCTATGATTCCTAATTAGAGTTTGTTTAAAATGAAGGTGGAGCAAGATATTTTTTAAAAAATGTACAGGATCATAGTGTTTGTGATTCTCTTCTGATATTCACCATTCAATAGCTTTTTAAAAAAAATTTGGTTTTATCAAATCTTTCCAAGGTATTTCATTTTCATAAAAACAACTATTTCTTCTCCCACAATTATACTTTATCACTATGCAATGTTAATCAGATTTTGTAATTTTGAAGACAAGACAATTGGTTGGGGATCAGCACAACTGTTGGGGGAAGGAGGCAGAGCTAGTGAGAGAAAATACTCAAGGAAATAAATCGGTGAAAGAGGTAATGTAAAGAAAATAGTAACTGACAATTTTGTAGAAGTTACTAGGTATCAAGCACAGTTCTAAGAGCTTTGCAAAAGTGAACTCATTTAATCCTCACAGGAAAGGTGCCATTATTATCACCTGCTTTACTAATGATGGAACTGAGGCACAGAGAGGTCAATTGTCTTTGTCAAAAGTCCTTTCAAACAATAAATTTTTAACACATTTTCTACTGAGATGTTTCCAAGACATATTACCAATGCAATCTGCTTTTCTCTTACAAAGTCTATTGAACATCATGTAATTTGTCTTTGAAGTGGCATAACTAATAAAAGTAGGCCAATGAAAATTTAATGTGGCCTCCCTTTTGGGTTTCACAAAAAGTATTTTTCTTTGTTCTGTAGAAGCGAGGAAAATGAGTTTAGCTAAATCAGGAAAAGATCCTTGTGGGGGAGAGGAAAGGACTTCATTGCCCTTTTTTCATCCTTTCTTTGCTGAGGAGGGTGAATTTACCAAAGAACCAAAGGCTGGGAACTGAGTAATCGTTGTGGATGAGATTTTTCTTTAAAATTGGCTACATCTGTAGGAGTGGACACCTGAGGCAGCAGTGGAATGAGGTCAGTCAGGTCTACAAGCAGCCAGTCACCTGCTCTCAAAAGTTTGGGGTCTGAGCTGAGATGCAATCCTGCTAAGTCCGCCTCACCTCCACCTTGCTATATTCTCCCCTTCCCGCTTCTTCTATTCCTCCTTTTCTTGGCTTCTGTTCTGAAAGCTTCTCCCCAGTTCCTGATCAGGGGTAGCAGCTGTCCTAACAGGAGCTGAAGCTAACCTGGGTCTTGCTCTAATTGTTCATTTGTTTCAGGCCAGCAGCCTGTTACTGCTAGGGCCCAGCTGCTAGCGTAAGCCAAACTCCAAGGAATCAGAGACCTTATTTGTATGTTTGACTGTATAGGTCCAAGGCCTAGCATCGTTCCTTATACCTAACAGATACTCGATAAATATTTATTGAATAAATAAATGAGCGGAAGAATGACCTGTAGGCCCTGATCCAATTTATTTGCCTAATTTGCCAGTGTGCTTCATAGCTGTGGATCCATTTAACAAAAATTAATTTCTGTAATATGATTATTTCTCTGAAGATTCCTAGAGTATTTTTTACCCAGTCCTATGAATCACCTTTTTTCATTTCCTTGCATTTGTTTCCAGTTGAAATTTATGGTATTTCTTCTCTTCCATCAAAACAAAAAACAAACAAAAAAGTACCCATTCTTTTTTTGTTTATTTTATTTTGAGACAGAGTTTCATTCTTGTCGCCCAGACTGGAGTGCAGTGGCCTGATCTTGGCTCACTGCAACCTCGCCTCTCGGGTTCAAGTGATTCTCTTGCTTCAGCCTCCCTAGTAGCTGGGATTACAGACATATGCCACCACACACGGCTAATTTTGTATTTTTAGTAGACACAGGGTTTCTCCATGTTGGTCAGCCTGGTCTCGAACTCCCAACCTCAGCTGATCCACCTGCCTCGGCCTCCCAAAGTGCTGAGATGAGAGGCATGAGCCACCGCGCCGGGCCGACCCCCGCCTTAATTAGCAAAGCGAGCGCGGTCTGCTGCATCTGAGAGAAGAAACCGCCCTAACTAGTTTGTCCCTCCGGCTGCCTCGTAGGTGGTGCCGCGGCGCCCTGCGTCTCTCCGGCCGGACTGCCATGGCTAGCCGTGGTGTCGTCGCCCCGGTCGGCGAGGGGTTGCGCTGCGCTGAGTACTTACCGCCCTCCGCCAAACGTCCCGTCGCCGACCTCGACCAGCAGGGACCGGTGAGTCCTGCCGGCGGCCCCCACCCCTCTCTGGCCCCGGGCTGCCCGGCTCTGCCCAGCGGGCGTCCTCCGGGGCCCCCTTCTAGCGTCGGCTCCAGCCCTCCCTGCCGCCTCCCCCTGGAAGCTTTGCGCTCCCCCGCGTTCGCTCAGCTGCCCGTGTCCTCGCGCTCCTTCGTCAGCGGAGAGACCGCTCTGTGCTCGGCTCTGACGCCTGGGCGTGGGGGGCGGAGCGGGTCCGAGGATCTGTTTCCTCAGGGAGCTTCCAGTCTTGTCTGGGACACGAACCAAAAAGCTAGGCCATTGCAAATACGGTACGACGAGGGCTGTGTGCGGATTTTCCTTTCTCCTCCGAGGCCCTGCTCCCGTCTTAGCAGGAGACGTGGTGGGATCAGGGACGCTTTTTGGAGAAAGCTGTAGTTAAAAATTAAGATCTCAGCCGGGCGTGGTGGGTCTCGCCTGTAATCCTAGCACTTTGGGAGGACGGAGGCGGCTGGGTTGCCTGAGCTCTGGAGTTCGAGACCATCCTGGTCAACATGGTGAAACCCCGTCTCTACTAAAAATACAAAAAATTAGCCGAGCGTGGTGGCGTGCGCCTGTAATCCCAGCTACTTGGGAGGCTGAGACTGGAGAATCGCTTGAACCCGGGAGGCGGAGGTGCAGTGAACCGAGATTGCGCCTTTGCACTCCAGCCTGGGCAACAAGAGCGGAAACTCTGTCTCAAGTCAAAAAAAAAAAAAAAAAAAGAAAAGAAAGAAAAGGAAAGAAAATTGAGATCTGAATGAGTACAAGCAGTTCACTCAGCAAAGAGAAGGGGGAAAAGTGTTTGAACACCAAGAGTACTATCTCCAGAGTCTCAGGCACAGAAACAGGGCCCAGTTGGAAACAGCAAGTGATGTATTCAGGATGAACTATGGAGCTGGGAAAAGAAAGTGTCCCGCAGAAACATATTGCAAGCCACATATGTATTTTTATGTTTTCTGTTAAGTGAAGAGAAACAAGTGGATTTAATTTTAACGATGTATTTTCTTTAGCCTGATACATGCGCAGTGCCTGATAATATTTCAACATTCATTATAAAAAATGGCTCAGGCCTGTAATCCCAGCACTTTAGGAGGCCCAGGCAGGAGGATAACTTGAGGCCAGGAGTTGGAGGCTAGCCTGGGCAGCATAAGAGACCCCATCTGTACAAAAAATTAAAAATATTAGTTGGGTGTGGTAGTATGAGCCTGTATTCGTAGCTACTTGGGAGGCTGGGTCTGGAGGATCACTTGAGCCCAGGAATTTGAGGTTATAGTGAGCTATGATTTTGCCACTGCAGTTCAGCCTGGGAGACAGAGCCAGACCCTGTCTCTAACGAAGAAAAAAAATAAATGGGGCAATAGAGATTTAGAAAATTTTAAGTAACGGGCCGGGCGTGGTGGCTCACGCCTGTAATCCCAGCACTTTGGGAGGCCAAGGCGGGTGGATCACGAGGTCAAGAGATCGAGACCATCTTGGCCAACATGGTGAAACCCCGTCGCTACTAAAAATGCAAAAAATTAGCCAGACATGGTGGCACATGCCTGTAATCCCAGCTACTCAGGAGGCTGAGACAGGAGAATTGCTTGAACCCAGGAGGCGGAGGTTGCGGTGAGCCGAGAATGTGCCATTGCTCTCCAGCCTGGGCAACTAGAGCGAAACTCGGTCTCAAAAAAAAAAAAAAAAAGAAAATTGTAAGTAACTTGTCCGGGATCATCCCTGGTAAGTGGCAGATCAGTGATTCCAAATGCTACACTTGTTCCACTATAACTTGCTGACTCCTTAGAAATAAGGATTTCTGGGTAGTCTTCAGTGTATGACATAGCTGAACAAGATTAGGTAGAAATAGTCCTTTTGTGGAGAGTTGTAAAAATTGCAGTATCAGACGTTCAAGGTAGTTGGGAGCTGTGGTAGTTGGAAGATAGAACTAATATTGGTGATTTTCAGGTCTGTAGGTATTTTTAATTGGAAGAGGAAAGAGTTTACAGAATCCAGCGTATCAGTTAGGAAGCATCTTTAGTAGTGCAGGTACATGAAGGCTAAAGTGTAGGCCAGTGATTCTCAAACTGTCTCCTGTAACATCCTGAAATCTGAGGGAAGATTCATAGACAATAAAATATACCCCTAAACATAACTTTTAGTAATCAGTATAATGCTTTAATTGAGACATAAAGGTGAAATATTTTATTTGAAAATAACATGTCCACAAGCTGTGTGCAGTGGCTCATGCCTATAATCCCAGCACTTTGGGAGGCCAAGGCGGGAGGATCACCTGAAATTAGGAGTTCGAGACCAGCCTGGCCAACAGGGTGAAACCCCATCTCTACTGAAAATACAAAAATTAGGCATGGTAGCACATGTCTGTAATCCCAGCTGCTTGGGAGGCTGAGGCAGGAGAATTGCTTGAACCCAGGGGGCAGAGGTTGCAGTGAGCGGAAGTTGCACCACTGCACCCTAGCCTGGGCGACAGGAGTGAGACTATCTCAAAAAAACAAAAAAACAGAAAATAACATGTAACGTGTCTACAATTTAAATACGTAAATACTTAAACATTATTACATTAGAACACATCATGCAGTAATTATTAGTTGCTAGCATGTTGCTCCAATTCATAGAGTCACTGTGTATATGACAGCTACCAATGCAGATTGTTTATCAAATGTAATATATTGGCTTTTCAAATAGCAGAAGCACCATTGTCATTTACAAACTTATTTTTCTCAAATGGCAAACAATTTCTGGTAAAAATTTGAACAAAACAGTGGAATCTCCCTCAATTTACATGACAGTTGCACTTGTGGAAAATTTAGTTTATACTAAAACAGTGTAATATATATTTATATATTATAAAGTTCTGGACTAAGATTATCATAAACTTTTCACCTACTTAATGTCCAGTGGAATCTTTTAAAATTGAGGGATGCAAACAGTTCTTTGTTATACAGGATTGCCTTATGTATTTTAGGACGTCTAGGATCAATAGTCGCCTATCCACCAAATACCCTCCCTCCTATTCAAATTATTATGCAACCAAACAGGGCCTCATGTATTTTCAGAATGTCACGGGGGGTTGTTCTGCTTCTTTTGGGAATTGTTGGTCCAGGCAATGATCAATAATGAGGCAGAAGATAAGATTGTTGATAATAACTTTAGGAAACTTGGAAATGCTGAAAGCAATGAGACGCTGACAAAGGTAAGTATTAGGAAAGAAAAAAATGGCCACGGTGTGGGGCATATTTGGCAAACTTATTGAAAATAAAAAATAATGTTTATCAATAAGTTAAAAAAAAACCTTTCATACTATATTTTAAAATGTAATTCATTTTCAGGTTTATGAAATATATCTTGGTGGGCTCAGCATGGTGGCGCATGCCCTAATTCCAGCGATTTGGAAGGTCAGGCAGGAGAATCCCGTGAGCCCAGGGGTTCGAGACCCAGCCTGGGCAATATAATGAGAACCCTGTCTCTATAAAAGAAAAATCAAAAATAAATAAATATATCTTATTTATTTATTTATTGTACTTTAGGTTCTGGGGTACATGTGCAGATCATGCAGGATTGTTGCATAGGTACATACATGGCAATCTGGTTTGCTGCCTCCATCCCCCGTCACCTATATCTGGCATTTCTCCCCATGTCATCCCTCTTCCCTAGCACCCCCAACAGACCCCAGTGTGTGATGCTCCCCTCCCTGTGTCCATGTGGTCTCATTGTTCAACACCTGCTTATGAGTGAGAACATGCAGTATTTGATTTTCTGTTCTTGTGTCAGATTGCTGAGAATGATGGTTTCCAGATTCATCCATGTCCCTACAAAGGACACGAACTCATTGTTTTTTATGGCTGCATAGTATTCCATGGTGTATATGTCCCACATTTTCCTTGTCCAGTCTATCATCAATGGGCATTTGGGTTGGTTCCAGGCCTTTGCTGTTGTAAACAGTGCTGCAGTGAACGTATGTGTGCATGCGTCTTTATAATAGAACAATTTGTAATCCTTTGGCTATATACCCAGTAATGGGATTGCTGAGTCCAATGGAATTTCTATTTCTAGGTCCTTGAGGAAGCGCCACACTATCTTCTATAATGGTTGAACTAATTTACACTCCAACCAACAGTGTAAAAGTGTTCCTATTTCTCCATATCCTCTCCAGTGTCTGCTGTTTCCAGATTTTTTAATGATCGCCATTCTAACTGGCATGTGGTACTTTCTAATGTGGTTTTGATTTGCATTTCTCTAATGACCAGTGATAATGAGCATTTTTTAATATGTTTATTGGCCTCACAGATGTCTTCTTTTGAAAAGTGTCTGTTCATATCCTTCTCCCACTTTTGAATGGGTTTGTTTTTTTCTTGTAAATCTGGTTTAGTTCTTTGTAGATTCTGGATATTAGTCCTTTGTCAGATGGGTAGATTGCAAAAATTTTTGCCCATTTTGTTGGTTGCCAGTTCACTCTAATGGTTGTTTCTTCTGCTGTACAGAAGCTCTGGAGTTTAATTAGATCCCATTTGTCTATTTTGGCTTTTGTTACCAATGCTTTTGGTGTTTTAATCGTGAATTCCTTGCCTGCATCTATGTCCTGAATGGTTTTGCCCAGGTTTTCTTCTAGGGTTTTTATGGTGTTAGGTCTTATGTTTAAGTCTTTAATTTATCTGGAGTTAATTTTAGTGTAAGGTGTCAGGAAGGGATCCAGTTTCTGCTTTCTGTGCATGGCTAGCCAGTTTTCCTAGCACCATTTATTAAACAGGGAATCCTTTCCCCATTGCTTGTTTTTGTGAGGTTTGTCAAAGATCAGACGGTTGTAGATGTGTGACGTTTCCAAGGCCTCTGTTCTGTTCCATTGGTCTATATCTCTGTTTTGGTACCAGTACCATGCTGTTTTGATTACTGTAGCCTTGTAGTATAGTTTGAAGTCAGGTAGCTTGATGCCTCCAGCTTTGTTCTTTTTGCTTAGGATTGTCTTGGCTATTCGGGCTCTCTTT